TTCTCTAGAGAACCTAGCCCAGGACACCACTGTATATTATGTAGCTGTTGTGGTATTTGACATTCTCCTTTTGATTCCTACAGACCTGAATGAAGTTTCAAAACGCGTTTAGTACAACACCTTACATACCAAAAAAAAAAAAACCCCAAACCTGTTGCTGTCGATTCCGACTCATAGCAACCCTATAGGAAGCTTTAAATTACGTGAGGGCAATTGATTCATGCCTGTCAGAGTTTTACTGAATGTCTGCTTTAGTCTCAGCACTGCTAAACAAAACTTCAAGAACATTAAAAGACATGGATGGTCCTTGCCTATTAGAAGCTTAAAACCTAATTTAGAAGATCGTACTTACAGACACCTGAAATTAAGAACACTATATAAATAGGTGCTAAAATGCTACTGAATAAGTTTACAGTACTTAGGGAATTAGATGCTGGGAATAGCTGAGGAATTCATCAGGGACATGGGTCACAAACTGAGCTTTGCTCAGGGTAGAGAAATGAGGAGGTCTTGGGTAGCAGATGGAAAAGGATATATTAAGAAGAATAAAAACAAAATAAGAAATAAAAATGACCTGTGTAAAAACAGTGGAGACTGGACTAATTATGGTTGTTTTATGTTAGAAAATTAGCAAGAAATCAAGCTGGAACAGTTCATGGAAGTTTAGAGCTTGAGACACGAGACTTGATAATCCATACAAAGTGCTTAATGGAGTACTTAAAATATGGCAAGAGTTCAATAAGTTTTAGCTATTGTTATTGTTTATTTATTTAGAGATGGCCAACACACTATGTCTCACAGTCTGGTTTTCAAAATTTCTAGGTTCAGAAACTCAATTCTTTAAGTATGGTCTCAGATGTTGATCTCTTAGGAATTATCAATCAGAATTCCAATTTTTAAATTTAAGCTGAAAATGTAACATCAGGCTGGTCAACATCACATTTTTCCTAGAGCAAATGTATCTGGATGCCTAAATTATAACCCGAAGTTTGCTTAGTGAGGCTGCAGTCAGCCTAGGAAGTAGCCACTATCTCCACTCTCTCCACGAGACAGATGGAGAGATCTTTACTGATCTTTACTTTGGGGGCTACCTCATTTCTAGTATTCATATGTTCTTTGGATTGGATACAATCAAACTGATTAGCTAAAGGTATCATGTTTTCATTGTTGTATGCCATCAAGTTGATTCCAACTCATAGCGACCCTATGTGACAGAGTAGAACTGCCCTATAGGGTTTCCTTGGCTGTAATCTTTACAGAAGCAGATTACCAGACCTCCCAGAGCTGCTGGGTGAGTTTGAACCGCCAAACTTTTGGTTAGCAGTCAAGTGCTTAACCGTTTTCATTACCAGGGCTCCTTAAAGACATCATGATACACACAAATTCTTCTGAAATACACTCTATCACAACTTAAATTTATATGTTACTGAGACTTCTTAGCTAAACCATTATATTCATTCTATATGTTTTTATTAAAAATCTAATTTATACCAGACGTTGTGCTTGGATTTAGATAGATAATTAAAACAGGGAAAGTTTACTGCCCTCCAGGGACTTATAGTGTAATTGGGGGATGGTTGGGATATAGCTATGTACAGATAATAATAACAGGGGATGCTCAACTAAAAGTAATCAAACCTACATTTTAGAAAGATCATGATACAGCAGGGTGGACTGGGGAAAAATAGAGACAAGGCTATCTGGCAAAAATGCCAACCTCAAACCTTACCACTATTTCACTATCTCCCCCAAATTTGTTTGTCCCCCTCCTCCTCTATTTTCTAGTTACATATTACTTGTACAGAAGGAAGGGCTGAAAGAATAGCAGGTTCGGCAAGGAAAGACGATAACAAGGCCAGTTTAGTAACAGTATGGGCCATTCAAGTACTGTATTATCTAGGAGGTAGACAGACTAGGAAGTAGGTGGGTCTGGAGTATCCATGTTGAAGTGCGTTCAAAGTGATGGAGTAGAGATGAAAGTAGTCTACTCCTTTCTGGAAGTCTGGATGACAGAAGAGAAACAGGACATGAGGTCAAGAGAGGGTTTGTTTAGTATGGGACAGACTAGAGCAAGTTTTTGGATAGAGGAAGTCACTAATAGAGAGGGTAAGGGCAAGTCAACAGTTAATAGAGCAAAGTCCTGAAGGCTGGATGGAGGTGGGAGGGATGGGGCCTCAGGTAGATAGATGAGTGCGGTTTAAAGGTCATGTGATTCTTTCAATACTCATTGAAGGGCACTCTGTAGGCAATTTAGGTATAAGATTAGCTAGATATCTGAATTCTCTATTAGGCATAGGTCCTCTACAGATGTTTCCTCTTGTCATTAAGTACACATTTTCATTAATTATACTTTATTAAGTTTATATTTTTAAAATAATTTTATTAACTGCATTGAAAAGACCGATATTTTATGCAAAGATTAGCCCAAGAAAAAAACTCAATTAAAAAAAACAAGATTTTCAATAAGTTAAATGAATTATACCCTGATCATAAATGGTCTTTATGAAAGAATGCATATTCTTGTGATTCAAAGCCATTCTCACAGAATAACAATTTCAATTTTGGGGGAAACTTGATATCACCCCCATCAACTAGCTTTCATTCAGTTCAGTGAAATTTAATAAGCTCCTGAATCTGGCATAGATGTTGGAGATACAAAAAGAAATACAACATATCCAAGTAGCCTTCAACATAACCCAGTAAGGTAGCCTTCAATATAACCCAATTTGCCTAGGTGGGAAAACAGGCATGCAAACAGATATGATAAAATGGGATACATGTTGGGACAGAAGGATATTCAGGATAAAAAATGATGGACAAGTCAATTTCAGATAAACAGGACATGACCAGACCACCTCACTCACATTCTGCAACATTTAATGCACCCAAACAATATGGAGGGGAAAATGGTGTCCAGAGTTGGATTAAGACATGTGAAGGCCCCCTCTTCTTCTTACTCACCCATTCCAATGGGATATGTGAGTTAAATATATACACATGTATATATATGTGTGTGTCTTAGCTATCCATGATGCAACTTCTTTTTAAATGTGGCTATAATCTTAGTGACAGAATGCAAAAGTGGTGTATGGCATTTTAGCGGAATGAGATTAATTGAATTATGAAATTTTTAGTGGATATGGGGTAAGATTCTTACTATGTACCATATTTTTTTACAAAAAGAATATTCCACATATTCTACAATGTGTTAGGCTGGGTTCTCTAGAGAGACAAAACTAGTGAAAGGCATATATGTGCGTGTGTGTGTGTGTGTATATATATATAAAATGGAGCCCTGGTGGTGCAATGGTTAAGAGCACAGCAGCTAACCAAAAGGTTGGCAGTTTGAATCCACCAGCTGCTTCTTGGAAACCCTATGGGGCAGTTCTACTCCATCCTGTAGGGCTGCTATGAGTCAGAATTGACTCAACAGCAATGGGTTTGTTTGTTTTTGGTGTATGTATATATATAGATAGTTAAAGAGATTTATATTAGGAAAATGACTCATGCAGTTGTAGAGGCTGGAAAGTCCCAAGTCTGTGGGTCAAGTGTCAGGCTGGAGGCTTCTCCTAACTCACACAGCTGGAGAGGCTAACAAATCCAAGATCAGCAAGTAAGACGGCAGGCTGCTGGCTCCAGTCTCAAGAACTGGAGGTCAGATGATAATGAGGCAAATGCTAGATCCAGAGAAGAGCAAAAGCCAGCGAGCTTTGCAAGAAAGTCCATATATATTGGATGCAGGCCACATCCCCAAGGAAACTCTCTTTCAACTAACTGGCTGCTGATGAAAGGTCTCATCTGGGAGATGATTACATTATATCAGATCTCATCATGGAGGCGATTACATCATTATATAACTGCCAAACCACTGAGAATCATGGCCCAGCCAAGGTAACATACAACCTTAACCATCAAATACAACAAAGAAAATAAGTCAATGAACTTGGTTGTTTCAACAGTCAATGTAAAATTCTGTTGATCTCCCACAATGAAAAATTGACTTTCACCAATTTTGCTTTAAATGGCTCGTATTTCAATCTTGATGTTTGTTTCATAATAAATGCTATAATTATAAATGAACAAATGAAAAGATGTCATAAAAGAAAATTTAATGATCAGAAAACAAATATTACAAATTATTATATTTCATTTTTAGATAGTTCTTTCATCTCTAACATGTTACAATTAAAAAGATTTCTATTCTTTGCTCTTATAAATTCTTCAATGATTTAATCACAATTAAGCTGTCGAATATCTACTTCCATACATAATAAGGATAATGAATTGAGTCTTTCTTGAATCACTGTTGTACGCGGAGGGTTTCTGAGTCTCTTTAGGGACAAAAATGAGTGTTCCATTGTGCAGTTTGTGATCATTAAAGTTAGGAAGATGCGTAAAGCAATTTCAACATTGGGAAATACGCGTTCTATTTTATCTTCTATTACGGAATCACACATGCCTTCATGAGTAAGCTCTGTCATTCCTGAATCTGTAAACTTAGTTTTTATGTAAGAATGAAATTGCTGCACTTCTCCATAAAGGTCTGTATTTAAGTTATTGAGATAAGCCTGCACTAATTTCTTGGATGCCTTCATGCATTCTTCATCAAGTATGTTCATATTGTTTAAGAAGGAAAACCTATTTGAAAGAACTTCATACACTTTCACCCTTCTTTCCACGCAAGATTCAAGTGTGTCAATGATAGCGTAGTATGTGGTTATGTGAAATTGACCTCTGGATCAATAATACTCAATAATACTTCTGGAGCACTTCCGTCATTTACTTCTTTCTTTCTAATGCTTCTGCGACAGTGAACTGCTTGATAATCAGTATCTGGCAGTATTTGTTTTGTCGTGTTTTCAAAATCTTCTCTTAAATTATGTAAATACCCTGTTAATGACTGGGAGACATGTGTGCATGTCTTTAAATTTACTTCTGAATCTTGGAGAACCTCACTTGTCTGATGAAAATGCTGCAAGATATTATTCCACATAACCAACATAAATACATACTCCAGTGTCTGCATTTTGTTGGCAATGTTTTCAGCTTCTCTTCTGGTATCTCCTTTTTGTGCCTGGTCTTCAGCAATATTTTCTAAGGCATCTAGAATCTGAGCGTATGATTCCAGGATCGCACTCACTGCTATAGCATATGCTTCCCAATGTGTATTAGAAAGACACTTTAATACTTGATCACTGCCTAAATATGTTTTAAGAACTGCCCATCGGTGAGTAGAGGTGGCAAAAATGTGTACAGTAACTGAACAGTAGAAAAAAAATCAACTGCTTCCAGACAACAATCTACTGTGCTATGTCCTACAAGATTAAGTGAATACATAGCACATGGTATGAAAATGGCATATTCCTTACCTTCTAAAATTTCATGTTGCACATCTTTATAACACCCTGATATACCGGCAACATTGTTATAGGACTGGCCTGTGCACTTAGGAGACTCAATTTTGCAAACTTCACATAAATAGTGAAGCACCTGATTTGCAATTGCTTCACTGGTATGACTTCTTAAACTAGTAACTGTGATAAATCGATCAACAGGTTTTCCATCTGTTGAAGATACATATCTTAAAACAATACTTAGCTGATCTGTATGAGAAAGGTTAGGAGTAGAATCTACAGACAATCTGAAATATCAAGCTATCTTTATTTCACTGAAAATAGTTGATCAAACTTTAGCACTTACTAAGTTTATTAATTCTTCACCCGTTGTTTAAGACATTAACACTGGGTTGCCCTTTCCTCTGTTGCCATATTTTGAGATGTGACCTGTTAAAAAATGGATCAAAGTGAGCAACAAGTTCAAGTAAACCCAAAATATTTCCATTTTGTGGGGACCCAAGCACTTCACTTCTCCTCGAAAACACAGTCCACATTTAGCGATTGTTGTAACGACAGCAATGTGTTGCAAAACGGCTTTCTAATACTGATGTTCTTCATTAATTTGTGTTTCCAGTTCATCAATTAAGCCAAAACCATGTCTTTGGTTTAAATATGATAACATACAATCTCTGTGTATTGAACTGTTTTCATGTTTATCAATCATATTAGAGTTGCACCAATGGCTAAATCCATCCATAGCAAATAAAGAATTAAATGATTTAGGACGGAATAGTCTGCAAACAAAACAATATACAGAATCAACTCATGGAGAATACAGCAGCAACTGCCTCTTATAATTTTTATCATTAGCTTTGCCCCCTAGAAATATATTCTGGCTACAGAACCTTGTTTGTTTACCATCCCGAAATTTTCAACATGAATTTTCAAATGGTCCACTGTGATGTTGACAATCACTTGGCCCTCTTTTGATCCAATAATTTACATCGTTGGAAGAAAAACTATTCCACAAAGCAGGATCTGTATTTCTCTTATTTATGGGGTCTACAGATGCAACAATTTCAGATACTAAAACAGTTTCACTTTCTACACCATTATTAATTTTTTTTACTACAGTACGGAATGGATGCAGAATTTGGAAGAAGTTCTGTTATATATGTATTGCTATCAGTATTTTCAGCACTAGTGGTACTAATATAATTATCTGTACCCATTAAACTCGAGTGTTCACTGGAAGAAGTCCCTTCTGATTCATTACATTTTAAAAAGTAAGTTAATTTTGGAACTGTCTTCAGAGATTGACAAATTCTTTTCTTTTTATCTTCTGTGAGCTTTCGTTTTTGTGCTCCACTTAGTTATTGTTGTTTCATTTTACCTGGGTATAAAATTATGTCACTTTTAAAACTTGGTTCTATTGTAGCAAATAAATTTGAATAATTCAAAATGAATAAAATTTATAAAACAAGTAAAATTTATGAAATAAAATTTACATTCAAATTTTGACATTAACACAAAAATTTATATTTGAAAACTAGTAGTAAAAAAAATGATTTGGAACATGTAATTTTGTTCTTCAGGCCTGAGATAGTAAAAAAATAGTACTTACAAGGCAGTTGGAAATAATTTCACTGGTCTGTCGTACAATATTCACTGGTGGGCCCTTTGCAGATCTCCACGAGTGTTTTATGTCTTGAAATAATACTTAAAAACTTGCGTCCTCACTTTCCGTCCTTTGATGCTGCATCTTCACAGTTCACTGGACTACTGCTGATAGCCAACGAGGGCGGGACAATCGCAAAGAGCAGGATAGAAATACAAGGGTATGCTTAATCTGAAGATTTGGTTAGCTTTGCGCAGGACCAGATATGTTGAGTCCTGTGATTATAGTGTCCATGGAGCGTTCTTATGTGGTTGATGAGAGAGAACTGAATGTGAGGTTATACTCGATTGGTCCAAAATGAAAAGGAAAGTATAATTTGTTATTGTATACAAAATTTATAAAATGGTTTCAGCTTCATTTAGTTTCCTGTCAGTTCCCTTCCACTGCAGTGCTCATTCTTCCTTGTGTCCTGTCTGCTTGGCATCTATGGGTCTTGGCTTTGACAAGTGGTGCCCCTGTTTTGTTAATGCCCTAAGCAGGTACTTACCTTGCTTATTAGGAAATCCGTTCCTGATGGTGTCAGACAATTTGATGTAATTTAGAAATGACTAAAACCAATGCTTTCTTTTTTCTAAAAGTAAACACGTTTATAAAATGATTTCTCCACTCATTGACTCCAGACTAGATGAAATTTACTTCAATGTACTTCAACACGTTTTAATTTATATTACTGATTAATCTGCCATTCCTAACTATATCTAACATTTTAACTTGCCCCTGTGCGGCTTTCTAAAATGGGGCATACGTTAGCCACAATACATATTCTAAATATCAAAGTTAGAACTTAGGTTTTTTCAATAGCACTGCATTGATTTGGTCTCTTGGAGAATAATATGGTAATATATAAATCATCTTAAAAAAATCGGTTGATATTTTGTGCAAAGATTAGCTCAAGACAAAAACTTAAAAAAACCCAGATTTTCAATTAATATACCCTGATCATAAATTATCTTTATTAAAGAATGCATATTCTTGTCATCTAAAGCCAAGTATTTTAAAAGAACGATATACTTAATAAAAACAGACATGAAACTGTTATATTTAAAATTGTTATAATAAAAGGCTAATAGACCTCTGTAAGATATTCATTTCATTTTAGAAAACATAGGTTTTAAGGATTAAAAGTAAGCTTCCAAACTCATTGCCAGAACTAAAATTTCACATCACAGAAATGCTTAATAACATATATTTGACAGATTACAACTCTAAAGTTGCCCAATAAATTAAAAGGCTTTCTAATTTTTCCTTCTTCCAAAAAAATCATGAACTGACGAAGTAACCATAGATAGTTAACATTAATTTCAGAAAAAAAGGCACATCCAGGCAAAATAGTCAAGGCGATATGTAAAATGCAATGTTACATCTCTACTGTGCATAATCAACTGACTCCATGTAAATCACTCTGAAAGATTGTAGAATATGACAAAAGATATTCTGTAAAAGCTGGGCAAATATGAAGACATCAACCCTTATTATAGTGTTATTTTGTTCCCAATGTATAAGGCTTATAGGAATGTATAATTATGCAACTGTCTGGATTTCTGCTTTCTTGTACAGAGGTTTGCTTTTTTTCCCCTTTTTTTCAAAATTGTTTATTATTTCAGTGTTATTGAGTCTGTCAGATACTTGATCGTCTTTCTGGTCTTGGTACACATTTCATAATTGCAGCTTTCCACAATACTGGAGCAAGTAAAAGACTAAGAGTAGTCACACTTAATATAAGGAGGTAGACCTGCAAATCAAAAGTGCAAAATCATTATCTCTTTGTGATATATTATAGCACAGCCAAAGATAAGGTCATTTTTATTTGAATTGGAACTGATATTTGACAATCAATGTAAAGCTATAATCAGTTCTAAACGGATAGTAGGTTAATAGAGGGCCAAGAAAATTAGACTTTTTTTTTGTGCAGACTTGCAAGTTGTTGTACGTTAGCTCTGCGGTCTTCTCATAGGGTCTACACCACAGGATCCACTAAAAACTCATGTTGTTGTTAGCTGTCATCAAGTCGATTCTGATTCATGTCATACTGACTTACAATGGATTATTTACACTAACTAAGCATCCTTGGACTAGGTCTCAGAGCTCTGTTACACATAATTCCATTCTTCAATAATTATTTATAGTGTATTTTAATAAGACGTATCTTATATTGCTCACATTTACCAGATACACGGAGACAATCAAAAACTTCCACATGACCTAAAAATCATCCTTTACAAGACAGCAGCAAGGCCCAACCTAAGCACTACATCACTAGACAAACACTTTAAATCTCAATTCCAATTCTGTTATTGAATGTGAGCCTACACAAGTCATTCACTCCTCCTGTGCCTAATTCTTCTGTAATATTGACTTAAGCTATCGGCCTAGAGTGAGAGAAATCAAGCATTTATTATGAAACATTTGCAAATAAAACACCATAAAGTGTTAAAACATTAATCAAACGCGGAAAATTCGCAGAAAATGAAGGAGAGGCTCACCTCCCGAGAAATGATTCCCGCTCTTCGTGCTCTACTTCCCAGAACAAAAGAAAACTCACTGACTTGGGCCAGCCCAGCGGAGACAATCCATTTGATATACTGGCTGCTCTTTGGCAAAATGAGAGACAAGACTAGCACTGCCAAAACAAACTGCGAGAACAGCCTTCATGTTATTTTTTTAAAACGAAGCCCCAGATAACTTAAGATACTTGTAATTAAAACACGTATAAAATAAACTACATACAAAATATCAAAACACTGAAACAGTACCTAAATAACATGTAAAGTGGGGAAAATACACACAGAAGCATTTCAAGTATGCATGAGGCACCATATAAATAAACATTTAAAAATAAATCCGCAAAGAACAAGAAGGTAAAATCAAGGGTTTAGGTTCACTAGCAGAAAACACAGCATTTTTTCCTCTAAACCAGATTAATAGCATTAAGTATTATATAGCATTCAAGATAGATTTTCTTTTTTTTTTTAAATGAGAGAGAAATTTATTATCTCTGTCAAATAAACAAAATCCAGAAGCAAGCAGTCCAGAGCTGGTATGGCAGCTCAACAATCGTTAAGAGATTCCAGTTCCTTAAGACAGAAATATTTTAAGGTAATTTGTATAATCCAAAAAACCAAGCTGCTACGAAATAGGTAATCACACCTTCAACTAAATGTTAGCATAGGCAACTCAGTAATTTTTAGTAACAAAGAGGAGACAAAGGGGAAGTGCCAAAATAATTTTCAGTTAATTGTTTTTAAACGTATCTTTGCATACGTCAGAACAGGAGGGCTTTGTTCTTCAAAGTCATCTGGAACAACAGTCAAATCACAATGCAAGGACTTGACCTGAGGATACAGAAAGTTGTTTCTCCCATTCCAATTTTTGGTAATTCCCAATTTTAAACATATTAAATTCTGAGACTAACAATCTACTATACTGATCCAACCCAGCCCAGTCTAACATAAACCTGCTTCTCCTGAAGCCTCTGCCAAAAGCAGATGAGCAAGAGAACCTCTGCTAACATGCGGGTTATGACCAACGTCTGAGGGAGATGGGTGAGATTTCAAAAAAGCCAGCAAATGAAAACTCTTGCAGACTTGTTAGAAAAAAATGAAATTTCTGGGGTTTCGTAGACATAATGTAGCTATTGGTAAGAAATTAGGCTCAAGAGAAAGGGAGTAATTAGTGCTTTTGTAAAATAAATAGGAATTTTACCAATCATGAAATAACTAAGAGAAAAAAATTGATACCTTCAGGACCACCACTGACAAAGTAAGGAACATCAAGACAGTGAGTTCATATATTACAAAAGTTGGGAAAACATGAAGCCCTGTTAGAAGAAAAGAATAAATAAGTTAATTCTTTCATGAGTACAGGAATAGGCTCCAAACAAATTTACACTCATTTGCAATTATAATTCTATAGATTTTAGTGTGGTCATTATACTTGTTTCAATAGAAGAATTAAATCAAAATCCTAAATTCTTGTAAGTACGATTTTTTCATTTCATTTACGTAAGCACTCATAAAAGCATTTGCTATGAGCCTGTTTCTTATCTGGCTCAAACACTTTCCCTTTCAACCAGAGAAAAGGCTGCCCCCAAATGGATAAATTTAACTTGGTGCTGTATCCTCACTACTCCACTTCCTCCAACAGATTTTACCTTCAGAAAAATAAAGTAAAATTTGATGGGAAGCAATTACTAAGTCTAATTTTCCTTTATGAAAATATTCTAAGCAAGAAAAGATTCTAAGCAAGATGCAGGTAATTCCGGGAATCTATAAACAAATAAGAATAGCCACCAAAAAGGAAAGTTAGTGATGGAATAATTTGGAAAAGGATAGTAAGAATAGCACAACTGGAAGAATGTAATCGATGTCACTGAATTGTACGTGTAGGAATTTTTGAAATGGTGTATGTATCTTTGGCTATGTATATTTT